TATTTTCGTCTATAAATTCCTGTGTTTTGTTGTATGAAAATATTGAATATGTCGGCGTCGTGCTCTGAAATGGACTGTGATGATATCTCGGGTACTAATGAATATGACTTTACGAGTTCCGATGAATCCGAAAGCAGCTCAGAATACAGCGAAGATAGTGTTGAAAGTGAGGATGACGTACTGGAGGAAGAGATTGAAGTTGAAAGTGAACACGAGGATTTTAGTTTTGATATGCCTTGGACCGAAAATGGAATTCCCCGACCACCTTTTCCATTTACAGCGACCAGTGGCGTACAGGTAGATGATATTCCTGATGTGCTGGACGTTTTTGAGTCTTTTTTCGATGATGCACTAATAGAACTGATTGTAGAAGAGACAAATAGGTTTGCTGTTCAATTCATTATAAACAATCACGGAAAATTAAAAGAACAGTCCCGGGTAAGAAAATGGACACAAACAAATAAAAATGAAATTAGAACACTTCTAGGACTACTAATTTTACAAGGTATAAACCCTAAGCCAGAGTATAAAATGTATTTTTCCCGGAGACATAGCATTGAAACGCCATTTTTTCCAAAAGTTATGAGCGAAAGAAGATTCCACTTACTGATCAAATTTTTACACTTTGTTGATAACTCAACAATAAATGAAAATACAAAATGTCGAAAGCTTGCTAAAATTCTGCCAGTTTTAAATCATTTGAGGGGAAAATTTATGTCCACTTATTTACCGGAAAGAGACGTTTCAATAGATGAATCTTTGATAGGTTGGAAAGGCAGGCTAAGTTGGAAGCAATATATTCCATCAAAACGGAAGAGATTTGGAATGAAAATGTTTGCATTATGTGAAAGTTCTTCAGGATATATGTTCAATTTTATAATATACACTGGCTGTGACACTGACTATGGAGAAAAGTATTCTAATGAACCAGTAACTGCTAGGATAGTCCTCTCACTAATGGATCCCCTACTAGGAAAAGGTTATCGACTCTTTTTGGATAATTTCTATACAAGCGTCGACCTGGCTGATAAATTAGTAAAAAATAGAACCGATTGTGTAGGGACAATGAGATTAAATAGAAAAGGCGTGCCCACTGACATAAAAAAGAAACTTTCTAAGGGTGAGAATGTTGCTCGTTATAGAAAAAAAATTATGGTTCAAAAATGGCGAGATAAGAAAGACGTCCTAATGCTCAGCACAATACATGACGGAAGCATGGGAACTATTCAAAAAAGGACCGGCGATGTTGAAAAACCTCTATGTATTCTGGAGTACAACAGTAAAATGGGCGGAGTAGATCTAACTGATAACTACTTGCATTTTTATGGAACTACCAGAAGCAGAGTGAAAAAATTCTATATGAAGATATTTTGGCATTTTTTGAGTGTGACGACTCTGAATTCCTACCACATTTACAAAAAATCTGGAGGAAAGCTAAAAAGGCTAAATTTCCTGATAGAACTTGGTGAAAAACTAGTAGAAAAATATAATCAATCAAATTCAAGACAAAGGAGAAGATCCAAAACTCCATTACCAACAAGATACAGTGAACGCCATTTTCCTTCAGTGATTCCACCCACTACAAAGCAGAAACCAACAAAAAGGTGAATTATATATTTTTTTGCTAATGATATAATTATACCAAAATTTATTGATTCCAGGTGTCAGGTATGTCATGAAAAAAAAATTCGGAAAGAAAGCAGATATTGGTGTAAAGAATGTCACACTGGCTTGTGCCCTGCCCCATGTTTCGGCATATATCACACCAAAGAATAATGGTATGTTGCTTTTCATTTTTGGATTATAAAATACTAATGAAAATATTTTATTTGCAGATGTAGAATGTAATAATAATAAGAGCATATCAAATGTCATAGAAGAATGATTTCCCTTCAGTTACCATGAAAGATACTTTTGTTAGGTTTTTTTATAAATTCTATGTGCATGTATTTTTAAACGTAAATATACGCTTTCTTAAAATAGTTTGTATTATCAATGGCCACAACGTATATATACGCATCCTTGATCATGTAATGGATATGACGGATATGTTCGCATGTGGTAAAGAAGCTGGCCATCTGGGGTGCGACTCTGAGATTTCATTCTGGCCACTTAAGAGGTTATTGAATAAGAACAGTGAGGTGTACTTTTAAGCATTTTGCTAAAATACCGAAACCTCTGGGTCGACAAGCAAAAGAATTCGTCAATTCTTCATCCATTATTGCTTTCACAGTCCGTCAAGGTATTAGGTAGTGAATAGAATTTAGAATAGCTGTAGCGGCTACACAAAACATACGCTCCGTAATGTTGGTTGCGGTAAGGCGTCGAAGACATAAAGTAGATTTTGTCAAACATCCCAAGATCCAGTAGTTTTAATTAGTGTGACAACCATGTGCGTCACTGTCATTATTTGACGTTGTGACGTAACTAATTTGATTCAGTGCATAAAGTATAAAAAGCAGAGAAAATCCTATTTCCATTTAAATAGGCTGTAGCAGTAAAATACTGTGCTGGTATGTAGTCTAGGTAGATCAGATGTAAAATCAAGAAACCTAGTAGTTTATGTAACTAGGGCATCCAACACAATCTGCACTTAGTGGGCACATTTGGGAAACAGCGTAAGCTGAAGTCGAAGGAAGTTTATATGCTACACGAGGAGAATAATAAGTTGAATAGCGACTGTCTCCCAAATACCTTAATAGATTTTGATCCCGCTATCCCACTAAGTTATGTATTTAATATCAGAGGCGATTTCAATCGATATTCAAGCCGGCAAGTGGGCCATATCCATATTGAAACATTATTTCTTGCGTTTCGTACAGGAAGGCTGCTGAATGGAACATGTCATCCGCTTAAAATGAATAAAGCACTTCTGCGAAGGCAGATAACATACACACCAGTATAGTAGCTTCCCATTTATCACCGATTTCAAAATAAAATAAAATAAAAAGTGTCACAAATAAAGAGCTGCTGATATTAAGCTTGCATCATAAAATATAGTATACACCTTTACTTCTAAGTACATTGACCAGCATAGCCAACAATACCCCACAAAACAAAATACCTCAACATTGAACAATCGTTAGTAAGTAATATCTTCCTAAATGTAACTCTATTCCCAGCAGACGTCGAAAAACATGCTGGCAGAACTTTCGCCAGTTTCTACCATCGCATCGCTGGTGCTTTTTTTGCCGAGAAGCGTCGCTGTCCTTTTGCGCCTGATCGCCGTGTGTAACTTTCACGATTATTCTATTCGTGCGGAATCATTTATCACCCTCAGAAAGTAGTTTGTCTGCCGACGAAACTTTTCATTCGCATCCTTCTGGCTGGCATTGGACATACTGATAGAATAACGAGATTATAGAAAGGTGAGATTATCCTTTCTGTCATGTCCGAAATCTGATTGTTCAGCTGAAGGGTGACGTCAACGATCATTGACGATAACTACTACTCCATTTCCAATGGAGTTACATATACTGAGTGACAAAAAAGGTAACCACCTACCTATGTTTATTAGAATTCAAGAATCTTTTACGTATCGATTTATCTTGCCATGAACACCGACAAAATGGTCAGGTTTTTCTGTTATGTTTTTGTGGTGGCTGCGTGTATTGTTTGGTGATAAAGAAGCATTTAGATTTCGTACATTTACAGTGTCAGTTAGAGGTTAAATTTCGTGTAGCTTATTGAGAAGCTCTTTGTGGTGGTTCAAAATGCCTAGAGTACGTAAAATTCGCCGGGTGTCCCAGCTGAGTGACTTTAAGAGGGGTCGAATTGTCGGGTTGCGTGAAGCCGGTATATCGATAAGAGAAGTTTCTAGGAGGACCAACAGATCCTTACGCAGTATACTGCAGTGTGAACGAGCGTCGACTCAGGAAGGTCGAGGACAGCAATCGAGGGGTTCTGGATGTCTCAGAGGGACCACAGAGCGACTAGACCGCCGGTTGAGACTTCTGGCTCTGAGAGACAGATTCAGTAGTACTCGAGCCATCGCTAGTCTGTGGTTTGAAGAGCATGGAAGGATGGTTGGTATGCATACGGTATATTACCGAATACGACAGCTTGGCCTTTTTTCTTATCGCCGACATTGGGTGATACCTCTCATAGTTGAACATCGGGGTAACCGTTTGCTCTGGTATAGAGAAAAATTCCATGAAATCGGAAATGTGATCAGGTGGTCTTTAGTGATGAATCCCGCTTCTGTCTGTGGATGCACGATGTTCGGGCAAGAGTAAGAAGACGACGATGTGAAAGACGTGACCCACAATTTGACAGAGAGCATCACGCTCACCACACCGTGGGAGTTATGGCATGGCATGATATTGCTTATGGTAGCAGATCGCCACTAATTTCTATCAGCGGCATTATGACAGCCCGACGCTATATTCAGGAAGTAGTGGAGCCTCATCTTATTCCATACCTAAACACCATCCAAAACCTGATTTTTCAGCAAGACAATGCCAGACCGCATGTTGCCAGAGGATCGTTAGCCTTTCTGGATCAATATCGCATTAGCCATTCACATTGGCCACCACGATCGCCTGACCCATCTCCATTGAACATGATAGGTCGCAGGCTCTTGAATTTGCAACACCATCCACAGACTTCAGCAGCTCTTACTCACGAAGTTGCAGTAGCTTGGAACGAGATACCCCAACAGGATGTCGACCACCTTATCAGCACGATGCCATGGCCGATTGCACCAATATTTTCTTAAGGATAGAATTACAAAGGAGACATTAAAATTTGAGGATCACCTAAAATTTTCTGTGTTGCACCAATACATTCTGGGTTTCCTCATATTTCCTTAACTAAGCTTTCCTTAAACTTGACAACTACACAGGAAACTAGTGATTTTGTCATGTTATGATGAAGTTGTCTGCCCTGCCTGAAAATAGTAGATGTTTTGTGCTGAAAGTGACATTTCACATGATTTCACATATCCACATTGAGGTTATGTTGTAAGGTAAGGTGGATGCTGAGTGATTGATTTGTCAATGTTAACGCCGGCGTTGGTGTTTTTTCAATTTTTGGAAGAATTTTTTATTTTTGCAAATTTTTATATCGTGAATCATGAGTGATGTCGAAAAGAGGAAGAGGGGTGCCAATTTCACAAGTGCAACTAGATTACTTCTATCTATAATTACGGAATTTAAAGGGATCATCGAAAACAAAAAAACTTAAGGTGTTTCCGTACATGAAAAAACCAAGCGTGGAGTAAAATTACTGCAAAATTTAATGCAGCTTGCCTTGAAGGGAGGCATCGAACAATGGACTCCTTAAAAAAGCTATATGACAATAAAAAAGGGACCTACGGAAACAGGAGCCAGAAGAGAAGATGGAAATACTAAAAACTGGTGGTGGGCCTTCACAGACAACTGGTAATACATCCCAAGATTTACCCTTTTCCATAGTGGATCCACCCACTGTTGTTGGTGAAACAACTTCATATGGGTCAGACAGCAGCATTCTGCTTTATGAGAAAAATCAAGACCCCTTGGAATATGAAGTAAAAGCCATTGAACATGTACGAGCCCCTTCCCACTTCAGTTGGCCCACTTCATGATTTGTACCAAAATATGCCTTTATAAACTAAACATGACGAAACTATTTACTTCTAAAACAATTTATTTTATCAAAAACATTTTAGATACACTCTAGTCGTAAAAAATACATATTTGAAACTACTTAGACCTATAACTAATAGAACATCTGAACAAATAATCAATGTGCGAATAAATGCGCGAAGTTAACAAAGCAACAATTGAAAGATTACCATTGAGTACCATCACCTTTATTTTCCATTACGGCTGAAATTCTTTGGGGCATAGTCTTAACCAAGCTTTGGCAAAAATTTGGTGTAAAACAATCCCATATTTCTTGAAGCTTTTGTCTCAGTTCGGTGATTGTACGGGCAGGATGTTGTTGTAGAACCTTTTTTATCTCGTGCCACAAACTTTCAATAGGTGACAGATCTGGACTGCTAGAAGCCCATTTCAAAAGTGGCACATTATTTTCTGCCATCCATTTTATAGCCTTTTTTGAGGTATGGCACGCTGCACCATTTTGCTGAAACAGAAAATCTTGGCCGGATGTCAAACATTCATCCATCACTGGTAAAAGCAATTCTTCTAAAATTGCCAAATATTTGTTTGTATCCACATTTCCGTCAATAAAATGAAGTTTTCCTACTCCTTTTGATGACATACTGTCCCAGACCATAATGGATGCTGGAAATTTCACTTTTCTCTTCAGACAGTCAACATGAAATGTTTCAATTTTTTGCGAATAACTCTACTGCAACTGTCACCAACACAAACTTCGATTCGGGCCTCATCACTGCATTGTATTGCACACCATTGTTGAGGTGTCCATTGTCTATGTTCTTTAGCCGATATAAGCCGATTTTTCTTTTGCAGTGGAGTTAATAGTGTCTTTTCTTTTGCCTATAAACAAGTTGTGCAACTTTAGGGTGTTTACTTCACTTTTTTTTTATAAGAAAACTTACCTTGCAAGTGCTAAATCCCAGTTTGTGGGCCACCCTATGAGTTGTGGACCTCGAAATTCTCCTTCCAACAGCGTCACTCCACAGAGCTCTTAATTGTGAATAATTGACACGCCTGTTTTTCACGATTATTCTTCTTAATGCTCTTCGGTCGGCATTTGTGATATTACTTTTTTCACATATCGTGGCTTAATATTAACTGAACCAGTTATGTTATATCTTCTAACAATATTTCTCACACTGTACCGCAATAAGTCTAACAAAGTTGTTTGATTTCCCAGAATTAAAAAAGTTAATTATCAGTAACCGAATTTTCTCACAAATAACCTTTCCTCTACCCATTTTGAAAACCTTAACTACCCAAAACTATTTTACACGTATTCTGACAGCTGTGATTACTAAAAACAATTGTCATGGCTTTGATTCCTCACAGCCACCTATGCGTTATACGCTTATTTTGGATTGAAATGAAAATGGGTTGATAGGCTGTAATTGCAACATGTATTATTTTTATGCTGCAAATTTGATTAGGGAATGACAAAGTTGGTGTTTTCTACTATATATTATCGAAATATTCATTGTTAATATTTTAAACCTATAACACCCTGCTACATTTTTATTATTTGTGTTTGATAATAAAAAACTAAGGTTTGCAATAGTTGGGCCAACTGAAGTGGGAAGGGGCTCGTAGATCCCAATGAACATCAGAAGGAAAACAAAATGTGTATGTTTGATGATGATTAGGTAAATGCAACCATCAAGTTATTAATTGATCATATTTATATATTTTTCATGTTGAGTCACATTTTACAGTTAGCAAATTTCTGATCATGTTCAGATATAGCTTAAAAAATATTATAATAGGATCAACGATACCAAATTGTTATCAAATGACTTCTCAGTTTTTTGATTTGGTTAAGGCATAGTAACAGGTCTTTTGAAAGGGATCCAAAGTCTTGAAATGTGCTGTTCTTTCTTAATGTTTTTCATGCTGTATAGTTTTCATTTTTAAAATATGAGGAAAGACATTCTACTTTATTTACTTTTCAATGTTGAAGTTGGTGGAAATATTGTGTGATATTCATGATTGTGACTTTACAAGTAATTTGTGTAATTACATATTCACTGTAGCTATCTGAATGGTTGTAGAGTTACATTCAATAAGCAGGAACCAACAGATCACTGTTGAGGTATTCATTTTTGCTTACAACTGTTTTCATCACTGAATCATCATAATTGATGGAAGATGGGAATCAAGAAAACAGTTCCAGGAGTATGGAGCAACTAGCAGATATATCAAGGGGATGGAAGGAAGGGGCAGATTTGAAAAAACCTGTTTCAGCTCAATTGAAGCGATCTATCAGTAAAGTGAGTATCTGTATGATAAAGTGGTATTTGTTTACTACATATATCTTGTACAATAACATACATTCACAGTTTTAAATAGTTCCACTATATGTTTCAACCTTTTTTAGCCAGCACAAAGCGATAAGGCTGAAAGCCAAGAAAGCAAACGTGTTAATACCTGCAAGCCATCAAATCATAGAAGACCTACTCAGACAGTCATTAGGTCACTGTCATCAAACCAGCTCGCTGAAAAATACAACTTGTTGGTTGATAAAAAGAATGTTATTGCAGACCATGTTCAGAAGAAGCTCGAACAAGAAATTGATTATGCAAGAATTGAACATGAATTAAGGGTACAAGCGTTAAAATATGACATTAAAAAGCGGCAATTAGACTCATTGAGGCCCTAGGCAGAACGACACATTATACATAAGACTATTTTATTAATGGTTTATTGTTTTATTTTGTATTTTATACCTGTTTTTTTTTTTAATGAAATTTATCTCTCAAGTACCAAAGTGTTATTTTTGTTACATAAGTACAGATGTGACTAGGCCCAACAATTTTACTAATCAAGAACACTTGTTTCTTCATATTCTACTTAAACAAATGTTGCAATGTCTTAATATATTGTTTTGTTTTTTAATTAGAAGGTTTTATACTTTAGTTTTGTTTGAAGACTGTAGTTTGTGATAGTTTGTTTGAAGGCGGTAGTTGTGATGTAAAAACAATAAAAGGGAAAATATAACAAAAGTATTTTACTCCTCGCATTATAACACGAAAAAAAGGAACATTCAAAGATTTCCAAAATAATTAATCATTTCTTCTTGAGCAGTGTTGACATTGCGATTCTGTATTGTAGGCATTTCAATATCCTGTGTTGCAATTAAATAATTGAGCAGCACTGTTGTTGCAATGATTAATCCTTTTGTAGTCTCTAATTTTAATCGTGATCCATATACCACTATAGCATATCTTCTTTTCCAAACCCCAATTGCTCTTTCAACAACTACTCTGGTTCTTACAAGAGCTCATTGTACAGTTGTTCGCCTCTTGTTGTAGGGTTCAATAATGGTGTAAGTAATTCCTTCTTGGGTAGCCACTGTCCCCTAAAGTATTAAATTATGTATATCAATCAGAATTGCTAATGTGTATGAACAGTTATACCCATTTATGTAACAAGGAACCAATTTCTGTATTTAGCAAGAGGCAACAATATTACTATATATAGAACCATCATACATTGAAGTTACTTTTAGAGTTAGCAGTGTTTGCTAACTATTGCCTCCAGCTAAATACTCAAATGTTGATTCACATTAAGTTGATATCATTTGTTTTATTTTTTTGGTTGGCTCTTTGTTGCATAAAGGGGTTCAATGAGATATTATTTAGTCAAGCTAGCCCAAAAAGTAGGGGGTAAGCTCACAACAATTTGCATAAAGCTGTATGCATGTTGGGAACGTCATGTCATATGATGGAAATTCCCAACTTTGAGAACAATACGACATATATGATTTTCTATGTTATTCAATGATTAATAAACATACCTAGTAATAAACAGTTAGGAAAATGTCCTAGTGCAAAACGAATCTTCAAGTCACTATGGTCGAATACTGTAGCATCATGCGATGATCCTGGACACCGTTCTACAACATTCATAAACTTCAGATCTGCAGTTGCTACAATCAGGAAATTCATGGAATAATAACCGTTTCTGTTTCGATAACTCTCTGCATTATTTCCTCCTAGAAGAAAATAGTGATTTGTGTACATCATAGTTGATCATAGCAATATGATCATGGTAAACATTTTCACATGTAGGAAACACTAAAGTAAAACAAATTATGTAGGTTTTCACTGAACACAGTAAAATGAATAATCAAAAATTAATGCAAAGCACATGCATATGATAAGATTGCTATGAATACTACATGTTGGAAAATGATCAAATTTGGAAATCACAAAAGGCAACTCAATCTGAAAGTTGACTTTGAGATATAACACTCACCAGGAGATTGAATCCTAATTTGGGTACCATCTACAACACCTATGACCTTAGGAATCCTAGCAATATGATAAAATTTATTCTGTTCCATTATGATATTAGCTTCTGTGGACATTTTGACATAACTTGGGAATAAGCTGGCTATAGTTCTTGATACCTTTCCAACAGTTCTGGAGGCTGTGCTTGCATCCATTCCCATAAAATCAGCAGTTTGCCTAATATGGCCTGCACTGGCATAGTACCCTCAGCAGCATAGAAGCTGATTCATTGGTGAAATGCTGTGATTCCTAAAATGAATGCATTCATATAGATATTTGTCTTAGAAGTGGGTCAACTTATATACCTGTCATGATGATACTCTAATTGATCATCTAGTTGCGATAATACATGCAACACTGTTTCCTTGTATAACCGGAACCTTCTGAAAAAACCCGGTGGCTCCATTTCTTCAAAGTAATTTGGCCGACTATAAATGCGCCTGGGTAGTCCCACCTCGATAATATCTATCAGCTCTAAATCATCATCCAGAATATCTGGTAGGTCGCCCAAATAATCCAAATATGAGTACTCCATTGTAACTCACACGAACACAATACAACCTGAGTAGGGTGATATCTACACTTTACAGCTCAAGGTCCTGTTTGAGGTATCACATCAAATATAAAACGGAGTTGATCAAGACGAAACAAAAAAACAAGTCAATATACACCAAAAAGGCCTTCTGCAGAAAGCACTATACTACACCACACAGAGGAAAATATAAAATAGAATTGTTTTGGTATTTGACAAAACTATTTGGTTATGTTTTCCCACGTACGATTGCCACGTTGCAGGTCCAACGACAATCATTTCGCCGGTTGATGGGAGAAACGTCGACAAAATCACCAATTATACCTCTTCTATCACAGTACTCGGCACCAGTATAGTCAAAAATAGTCCCAGTTTGGTTTAGTTCCCAGAAAAATAACTAGTTGTATAGTCAAAAAATAGTCGCTAAGTATATCGAAAATCACCAATATGGCGACAAATCTTCAAGCTGGCAACGATGTACCACACTGAGCGCTAAGTACCGTTCAAGTGATCGTTAGCTGCCACTTAACTAAGGACAGTTTAATCGGAGACTAATCCTCACTTTTCGTTGGTGCAACCGAAAATGCACCTTTAAGTATTGCTTAAAGTTAAGAAACGAATAAGTTATCTGTAAAGTCGTTGGTGCAATCGGCCATTAGTGTATTAGAAATCGTGGACCCTCAACACATTATTGAGCCAGCTTCTGGGCGGTCAGTTGACTATTCAAGCTAAAAATTTAATCATTTTACTAGTAATGGACGCTGAACAAATATGCCAGAAATTATTAAAATTCGATAAACATACGTAGCTGTTACCTCTTTTATTCACTCAGTATATTATGATGATTGTTGTCCCTCATCTAGGGAAATTTCAGATTTTACGTTTTTCCAAAGTAAATTTGGTATCTCGTCAAATTACTGCTCATTGTCGAAAAATATCGAACAGTCACTAATCACGGGGTTATTTCAGCGCAAACCTATTTAAGTCTTTTCGCATTTTTTGAATAGTTGCTTTACTCGTATTGAAACCAAAGCATGCATTTATTAGTGCAGTTAAGCTGCAGACAAGCGAAGAAATGGATTGAAAAGCTGTTACTTATAAGAACCTTAGAAGTAAGTTAGATATTACGTTGACTCAGACTGAGCCCAACTAGCAAAGTAGTGGTATAAGCTTTTGGTAAAAGAACCGTTCAGCCATAAAAGCTCTCGATTGTTGTTGCCTGAACACCAAAATGCTGGCTTAATGTTGTGTGGAATGCAAATTTGCTTTCTGCAACATATTTGCTCTAAAATGAGGTGTTTAAAATATTCTTATAGCATAGTTATACAACACCTTATAGGGAAAATTTTTAACTGTTGCATAAACGTTTATACAACTATTTTATACAGCATATTTGCAAGTTAGTCATAATGGTTGTGTTGTGGCACCCATGCTAACGTTTATAAAACAAACCCGAGCCTTGTTGCTTTGCTGTGCAATTTACTACATTAGCCAACAAATTGCTCACAACGGAAGCACTTACTACAATACAACTGTTACATATGCTAAATATGTTGGTAAACAACTTCACCATAACCTAACTTTCTGCTGTCATATTTTTGTTAAAATGCCATAACCAATGTTTTAAGACAAACAAAGCATGCATATCGCTTCAAAAGCTTTTATCAACTGTTCAAACAGAAGATATAGATCTGGTACAAATTCTGGGTAAATCATTCGACTCTGTCCGTATTTCATTTCAGGCACTTGTCAAATTGTTGTATAACACCTGCAGGCAACACCAAAATATTCTAATAACCTAAAGACAACATGTGTGATGCCTTGATTGTACACAACCACCCGCCATATTGGGCAAACATTTATTCCTCTATTTAATATTAGATAATTATGTTTCAGTTCGAAATTACAGATATAAAGTGACAAACATTAGTGTAATTGTGTCTAAATATAGGATTTGTGGAAGATTTAACGCAGGTAAGTTCAGTTTTCGATCTTAAAAATCTAGACATAATTGTCAAAATATGAATCAAATACGAAGCCCGTAGAAATTGGGTAACTAATTTGCACGATAATCACAATAAAATTTGCTGCGCAAGTAATTCAATAGCCCTATACCAAAGTGTAGAAGTTCATCATATACCTGTGTATGAAATTCACAATGGCCGATATGTAAGTAAACAAGATGACTGTAATGTGTTAGTTATATATTCTTCACTTCATCTATACAATACATAGGAAATAGTTTGGTTGCAATAAAGTAGAATCACGTAAGAGAATAGTTGTATAGTTGACAAAAACTGAATCTTGCACTGACGCAAATGTCCTATAGCGGCTGCAAGAGGCTTACACTTTTGTTTTATATCTGTTACCTGCAGCCATTATACAACCTCTTAAATGACTGAAGTGTCCTATTAGTTGTGCCCATTCGGCTTGTATAGCTGTTCTAAGAGGGTTTTGCTGATGTTCTCACAGTATACAATGACGTTTAAGGAATACTGTATAATCCTTCTTGCAATTCTAATAGGACTGATAATTGTTAGTTGGGAGTGCATGCCGTTCTTTAAAGGATTAAAATGAATGATGCATATATGAAAGCTACCACACTAAAAACCTCAGGTCCATACAAAAGATTGCTCAAAAAGTATGAACCGCTTAGTAATGTGTCCTACAAGGTCAAAGCGGAATGTCGGAGTCAATTTTCCTCCAAGTCAGTGGCTTCGCGGTTTCGCTTCAATTTTCTGAAGAGACACCATTGGCCAGAGACCTAAGCGTGTTTTTCCATGTAGGATATGTACAGACCATATATCTTGAAAAATGTGTACACTTGCATATTCAACGGCCGAAATAAAAAGCCAGACA